GAAATCTCTCGTCTACATCACACCATCTTACATTTTCTCTCGTGAATGTCGTTTCTTTAACGAGATAACAATTCCCAATTTCTCGTCCTTCATCCCTCGACAAAGCCCAAGCCCGCGGAAGCGTCAAGTGCGTCGCGTCGGTCATCGGATATTCCTTTATCCGCACGTAGCGTGAAATCAAGGCGATCGCGCTATCGCACACGCTATCCCGACGTATAAGCGAGGATCAGGAAGAGAATGAGAGAGAGAGAAAGAGAGAGAGAGAGAAAATCTCCGACGCGGTTCAGAGATAGCGTGTTCGACGGCGATAGATTGGCCGACCAATCGGTCCTAGTGTTGCCCCACTGCAAGCAACTCCGACCATTGCCTACCAAGTTTACTCCCATCCGCAGCCGCTGCGCGAACGCCACGCCGAGCTGTTCCGGGCGAGTCGCGGCGCGAGCAACGGAGGGCACCCGGCGAGCTTCCCCCGGCAAAATCAATAGACCAATGGCTACTGGAACGCGTGCGTAATTACCGCTCGTGACGGACATTGCCTCTCGCCGTTACCCCGGATCCCCGACGCCGACCCATAGTGGGGAAAGGTCGCGTACCCTTCGCTACCCCCGCCGCATCCCTCCCGCAACCCCCCGGTCGGCATCGCTTTTCCGACCATGCAACGACCCATGCACGGCAGGCATCGAGCGCGGATACGTGCGAGCAGCAATTTAGCCGAATCATTCCTGTCGCATGATTTATCACCGTCAAGCGTGCGACGGTGATAATGGTAGGCTCGTGATAGTGGCCGTGATGGTGGTGGTGGTGATGGTGATGGTGGTACCGGCGATACCTTATACCGGCGCGACCCGAATAAGCGCACGATATACATCTTCCAAATTCGATGTGCGAGCGATTATCGCGGTTGTTATCCGTCGAGGTTACCGCGATAATTTCATTTTTTTCATGCCAAACGCGAGGCGCATCTTGGTGCACCATATGTATGTCGCTTTCATTGGGTGACTGAGTTTTGTACGTGTCATATATATGATCTGTATAATAGAAAGTTTGCGATCTTCTTATAATCCTATGCGAAATTTTTTCAAGGTAATTGAAAAATTGTTGAAATATATCAAATGTTAATATGTAATAATAATAAAATAAACAAATTGTTTTTGCACACATATGCAAAATTAAGAAAACAAATTTCAAATGTTATATAGAGATAGTATTTAACGTAAAAGTCGAGAAATCTAAGTGACATGAATCTAATTATATCAAAGATATAAAATTGATTTTCAGCTTAAGTAATATGCAAAGTGCTTTTGCGCAAAATCATTCCTTCTTGCAAAATTAAGCTAAGATCATCAAAAATGGAGGATATCTTACACACCCCATCATTATATGTATATATTAAAATAAAAGATAATCTCAAATGCATGTAAAATATTTCTCGATAATTTTATTTTATTGTTATAGAAAATGATTAAAGAAGCATATCCATTTGGATAAAAAATCTTATGTATAAATGTTCATGCTGCGTTATATTATGAAGATAGACGCCAACATCAAGAATTATAAAGGCATAACAACTGAGAAATGGCGTCCTTTCATAGCAAAATATAAAATTTTAAAAGATGATAAATTAATTTCCTTGTTTCTCAGTGGACAAATTAATTCTCATTTGATTCCCTCGTTCTATCCATGTTTTGAGAATAATGAAATTAATATGCTGCTGTAAAATAATTAATAGTTGTTTTCACCACACATGCCTGACTCGTTATTTTTTCACGCGACACACGATTGCGTATTCAGTCGCACGAATAATAACAACAGTCACGAATGTTTTGCGACTTTGTAGCAATGTAGCATATGTTGCGTTAATTCGCGGTGAGTAATCGCGCGGTTTGTAATTTGTTAGGGACACCGATGATTTTCCTTCTTTTGTTCTTTGTTCGAACGTAACGATTAAACGATTCTGCAAATTTGAAACGTAAACGCAAGATAACAGAAAAATAAAGATATTTATATCAGTCTTTACGAATTAACGGATCACCGGTTCATTTAAATGCATCGTTCGTTTGCTATCAAACCATAATTGTCGTAAAACTCTGTCTCCCGTGTGTTTGGATAACTTTATTATTCCTAATCAGACAGTTGGTAAGACGAAAATTGATTTATTCAGCTGTCTAGATAATCTCATTAATCGGTAATCATCAAGACGTAATATTCGCCTATCAAACAAACGCTTGACTTGTGACACAGTTATTCGAAAGATAAATATTTGATATCGGTCGAAAAATATTGTTTTAATTGAATTAAGATCATACTAATTGTAAGTATAATTGACTATATTATTAGAAAAATATTTTTTAAAAGAAAACTAGCAAACGAATTGACATGTATGCCTGCTATATTTTCAGTAAAATAATAATCAAAATTTCTTTAAATAAATTTATAAACGTATTTTATTTCGTATCGTTTTCATCGAGTATAAGAAATTACAACTATTTCATATAAATATTTCCTTATTTCGTTGAAGATATTAAATGTCAAAGTGAGATATTAAAAAGGAAATTGGACAGAAAAATATCTTCCTTGCTCTAAGATTCATTAAATAATAAGTGAACTACAATCAAAAGAAAATTTATGGAAATATCCTTGTTTTCTTGAAAAAAAAAATTATAAAATATATTGCTGTAATATTATAAAATATATTTAATGAGCAGCAAAGTGCATGAAATAATTGCTATTTTAAATTACTATTATGTGGCACTTATTTGGCATCGCTTTATTATTTATATTAATTTATATCTGTATTAACTACTTTATGTTTTCCATTATTAATATAATTAATAATTACTTATATAATTAATAATTTATATAATTAATAATTAATATTACTTACTGTTCATATATGTACAGTATCAATATTACTGTTCATATATGTACAGTATCAATATTACTGTTCATATATGTACAGTATACACATTGAGAATCTTTTCTCTCTCTCTCATTTTTCTTTCTTTTTCCCTCTTAACATTAAAATCATAAAGACACAACTATTTATATGCACCTATTATGAGGTCGATTGATATAGACGAGTAATTTTTTCTTAAGTAATCGATACATGTGTCGATATGTGTATATATCTTTAACATATAAATAATATATACGCCGATGGTGCGACGGCTTTACACTTCGTTTTGTCTATATTTGTATCTTGACAAAGCGCGTAAAAATCTCAGAATAATCTAATTCAAATTGATTTAAAAAATTATTAAATAAATAACGCAATTTTAAATATGCAATACTGTTCAAAAAGTATTGAATTCATTCATTAAATCTTATATGTACGACTATATCTTAATTTCTTTTTATTCTAATTAATTTTAATCGTTTCCGAAATTATAATATTAAATTTCTGTAAAATTCTTACTGTTTTTCAGAAATATTAATATACTGTCAGTTAACGAATTTACTTATCATTTAATGTGTTCATTTTTTCTCTCTATTGTCAACAGGAATTTTTAACCGGAAACCCTAAGTTTTTCAATATCTCCAGTGCATTCTCTAATTGCTCCCAATTTTAATTAATAGAAACCTGTATAGAAATTCTTATCCAATACAAAATATTTTAAAACAATGAGGTCCTTGGCTCTGTAAATATAATTAATCGATATGTACAGAATTAATTTTTCAATGGAAATATGTTGAGACATTTATAATTGTCATATAATTATTAATTAGTGATTATATAAAGCTAATAAACTTTTGTAAACTGAGCTTAAAAATAAATAAAATTACATTTTTTAATTGTTAATTTTTAATTTTAAATAAGCTTTAACACAAATTTAATTTAAAAATTAATTATAGAAATGGAGCAAAAATTAAGAAGTCGTTTTCAAATTGTGAGAATTAAAGGGTAACTTGAAAGTTCTGTGATACATGTATATACATATATTTTATTTTATATATGTATATATGCTTGTATATATTTTCTATGCTTTGATTAAAACGACAATTAGAACAACGAAGAGCACATTTTGTACCTGAATTGTCGCTTTTTAAAGAGAAGGTTCACTCCCGAATGTTCAATATCCTATATTAGTCAAAATTGGCAGAATCAGATTCCACTAGTAACCGACAATTTACAGATAATCTCGAGAGCGATATAAATAGATCTTTCTCCGGAATACTTAGGGAGGTAGAACTTCCCTAGACAGTGTACTGTCGGTGATTACCTCGTACTCCAGTTTCATTCGTGTGGAAAGGCTAGGCCAGGCTAAGCAAGTGCAACGTGCCGGTACCAACCGCGCACCAATCGGTTATCCCCGAGCGTGGTGTCCGTGTCCGACATCAACGTACACCAAAATTGCACACGGCAACCGTGGCAACGGCCGGCGAGGATCGCGACGACGCTTCCCGCCGGTTGCGAAGAAGAGCGAAAGGTCGCTCTTTAAAAGCGTGGGAGAGCGACCAGATCAGTGGGCGGCTACCGGATCGCCCAATTGGTGGATCGTCTTGGTAATGGTCGATGGGCGTTGGGTAAGCTCAGATGCGCGGCTTGTTGTGCGCACTTGGCTGACTTTACCCAGCTCTTTTTTCCTCTCTCTCTCTCTCTCTCTCTCTCTCTCTCTCTTTTCTCTCTCTTTGTGCTTCTGTCTCTCTCTCTTTTTTATCATGCATCCCCACGATGCCTGGTCCCCACCACGCTTGTGCGCGCATCGACTAGGCCTCGCGAGGGTTCCCCCAGTGTCCGGTGTTTTCCGCCCCGCGTCCACCCTTTACATTCCGGCCTGGTATAATCAGCAGCTTCTGATGTCTTCGACCGCCTTCCTCGTATTCGTTTCCCTCGTCTTCGCCGCCACCGTAGCACGCGGCGCCTTAAATCTTAATCTCATCTTCAAGGTGGGTAGAAGCAGCGGAGAGCAGAGGCTTTCGCGGGAAAAGAAGGTGGGGGTAAGGCTAGTCTGGGCGCGCTTTGAGCGCAGCGCGGAAGGCAATCTGTTCGAATACGGCGGAGTGCGAGCAGGTTGTCCCGCGTTATTCGTCCGGAGAGAAGAGAAACTTGAAGGGAGCAGCCGCGCTACCGATACATTACATCTTCTCTAATAACGGAAGTTCTCATAAAGATGAACTGAAACTGCGTTGTACGAGTTTTTCATTTTTTTTCCACCGGACACGAAGAGGATCGACACCTTAATCGCGTGACGAGAAAAGTAGTGCACGATGGAAAAACCATAGAAGGAAAAAGACAGAAGCGAGAAGAAAGAGAAGAGTAATCGCTCTCGTCATCTTCTGCTGAAAGACTTGTTCTTATATTCCAGGAATCTCTTGAATACTCTGTGAAAATCTGCATGAGGGGGAAAAAAGTCTCGATAACTGGTACATTGGGAAAAAAGAAAGAGAGAGAAAGAGAGCTCTCGTGGTGAACAGAGGAGGAACGCGAGGGAATCGGTCGTGTGTGCGAGGTGACCAGGCAAGTCGCACGTCACATTAAATCTTGATCTCACCTCGGCGAGCAGAGGCGAGTCTCTCCCGACCGCTGGAGGGGAACGGTGGGGGTAAGGCTAGTCTGGGTGCGCTTCGAAACCCCGAACGGAAGGCAATCCGCTCGAATCCGACGGAGCGCGAGCAAGTTACCCCGGTGGCGTAGTCCTCGTTGCCCGTCATTGGAGAAGGGAGCCTTCATAGGCGGAAGAGGCGAGAGGGCGATCGACACGCGAAAAAGAGCACGGGAAGGGGGAGGAGGTGGACGAAGAGAAGGAGGACGTGGTCACGAGCTTCGTTGAAGGCGCTTGCGCTCCAACATTCCGCGCCTTCGGCTGCTCGGCACGTCGACCGACTAGGCTCGGGTATCGCGACGACGTAAAAGCTCGCGTCGCGATGCGTCGTGATTGTCATCGCACGAGTAAACGAGAAATCACACCGCTCCGCTGACCGGATCCGTAGGACATCCGCAGTGACTTGTGTGCCACGTGACTAATCGCGCAGGCATGTCTACGTCTCTGTCGGAGGATAGTGGCTGATGGTGCACGTGACAAGTGACGAGGACCAAGTGAGGATTGGGACAAATGGGAACTGCGGTCGTTCAACGAATGTATATTAAATCCCTATCAAACTCTTATTGTGTTGACGTACATAAGAATGAGACAATTGTAATAGAAAAGGAATATAAGAAGCTTGGTTTCGCGCAATTGACAGGTGACTGAAACTAGATTGCTAACTTTACTCGTGTAAAAATCGAAAAATGTCTGCGCAACGATATTGCCCGGCGCATAATGAGAAGCATAAATATCCTTAGCCGTTTGCTCCGAACGCGAGGACTCCACTCACATGACACATTGACTCGCGCTCGAAGACATTTGTCGGCGTTTCGATTGTTTGTCGAATCCGCGGAGGAGAGTCGACAGCGAAAAATTCGTCGGCTGCGAAACGAGGCACGAGAACGAGCCGAGGATAGACGTGGTGCATACGCAGAGGTGGAGGAAGAGCGGAAGAGGGAGGAGCCGTTGCGCTGAGCGTGGAGGGGGTGGAGGTGAGATCGTCTGGTGATGATGATCGGTGGCGGCGTCGCGACCCCTCCTGGTACTGCCAAGTCGGCTGCTGCGATCGACAGCGAAATGGTGCAAGTCGATGGCATTGGCAGTGGTAGTGTCAGTGGCAGTGCTAGTGGTAGTGGTAGCCCTGCGACGGGCGCGACCACCACGCGCCTCGCGAACAGCAGCAACAGTAATAATAATAATAGCAGCAACAACAATAACGGGGAAATTAGCAACAACAACAACAACAATGACGGACACGGGGTCGCGAATTGCGCCGGCACCACCACCTCGGGCGCAAGCGACAAATTTTGCTGTCAGGACGAGGACGTTCCCGTCAGCACCGGGGTCGCTCGACCTTGGGAGCCACCGTCACCGACCTTCTCCCAAACGAGATCGCATCTGCTGCAGATCCATCCGCCGCATCATCATCAGCATGCGGCGGCGCATCATCATCAGCAGATGAACGTACCGGTCTCCCTGATCGATGGTAAGTGGAAATATTCAGCTCTGATTATTATCGTCGTCTCATTCCGATATTCTTCACGAGTCTCTTTCTTTTGTCGAGCTTTTACGGTAGCTCAGTTAATCAATTTTTAATCATCGAATAATCGTTTAAAACAACCATTGTGTGTTTGATATGATATGATTGAAAATATTATTCCTTTAACCGTTTGATAACAAAGAAGATCATCAGGTGCATTGAACTCGATAAAATAATTTTCTCGCTGAACGTTCGAAATGAATCATGATAAGGCAAATATTTCATAATTTCTCAAATATTTTAATTTGTCGCGATAAATATATCCCCTGCACGTTGAAATAAATTTTAATATCTACTAAAAAAATACGCAATCGCTTTTGTTAGAGAAATATTCCGTACGTTTTCATACTGATCATTATGACACATTCTTCAGTTTTGGATATCTAAAATAAGACAAACGCGCGTGTGTAAGCAATGAAGAGCCAATTAATTCCGTTGTGCCGCAATAAATCGATAATTACGGAATACGTCACACATAGCATCACTATTTACAATCGTGTGTTTCATGCACTTTATTACAACAAAATTGCACGACAACGTTATTCAAATTTAAGACCGTTGTTTAACAGACCTCATTCAAACACCTGAATACACTTTCGGGACTATCGAAGATAAAGACAATAATCGATGAAATGTCGAAATAATGAGTACGTGGAAACGACGAAAATTCTGTGAAATTAATGAGCGGAAAATAATATTTCTGATAACATGTCAAATTTTCTTCCAATGATATTATCATATTAGCTTCTACTGTAAATCTCGACCGAGAGATGATGTACAACTAAACTAAATTCCGGAAACACAGTGTCTTATTATTAATTATATTTTGTTACATATATTATATTATTGATTATATAAAATATCATTATAATTATAACAATATTATATAATCTATAATTAATAATATAATATATATTACATAATTATATGATATGTATGTATGATTTATTTGTATCGTTAAATACATGTATGTTATCTTCAGTCATTAAAGGCAATTTAATAAAATCAATAAAATAAATCAAAAATATGGATTGACTCAAATTTATTTGCATTTAAAAAAAAGAGTGAAAAGTCATCTTCATTATGCAACTAATAAACATTTAATCATTATACATTTCTGATAGCGTGAAAGTTAAATATGTATACGCGCGATGACAAATGTAATGAATGTATATCGATTATATCTGTTTCTTGATGAAAGATAACCAAGTAACTAATTGAATTATGAATCGCCTCACGATCTTTCGCTGCGTGAACCTTTCGATATAGGATGGCAACCGCAATTAACATCGAACACCTGTACAGCCGAGCACCTGTACAGGACTCGTCTCCCAACTAACAATAATTGGACCATTTCACGCTTCTGAAAACACATAATAATCTCGGAAAGATTATGATGAAGATTAGCTATATGAAATTTTAATCACAACTATTAAACGCAAAATAATTAATTCGATTTAAAAATTATAGTAGCATACTAAATAGATAAAAAAAACAAATATAATTTCTGTTTCCAAGATTCAGATTTGCCATGACATTGATCTCTCTCTCTCTCTCTCTGTCTCTCTCTCTCTCTCTCTCTCTCTCTCTCTCTCTTTCTCTTTCTCTTTCTCTTTTTCTCCATCATCATGTCGAAAACATGCATATTAAACAAGCGGTCCAATACCAGTTCCTAAATACAAGTATCTACGATACCAGGTCAACACACTCTACACTACATTTATATGAATCGGGACATAAAATTCTTTTTGAGATTCTTCTCAATCTAAAATCGTTCTGTTTACCGTTCATTATCAACGACTGATTGTCACTTTTCAGTCACTAATAAAATCATCAACAAATGGGGAAGATATGAGAGTGAAAATGTACTTGTTACAATCAAATTCTCATATTTGTTTATATCATTTCGCATAATTATTGAAAAAATAAAAGATATGCGTCTACGACATACATGTTTAATTATCGCACATATGTATTTAATATATATATTTAATTATTCTCCCGGATTTTTCCATAGTTTTTCAATGCTTGCCAGAGTCGCTTCTTTCCCAAGATGTCAATTCGCGAAATTGATGATAGAATATAAAGTAATTTTGTGCAATGCCTACGATTTCGGAAATTATTTTCGTTGTTGATATTTGCCGAGATGCAATTCGGAAGTTGCTTAAAATCGCACTTGGTTGAAATCAGTTTTAATTCGTTTGCAATATATTTCTTTAGAATCTTCTCTAACACTCTCGTAAGTATCACTTTCGTTCAATATCCGTCGGTCTACTCAACTCGATTCTCACGTTTGTGCTTCGTGGAATATTTTGTTTCAGAAACACAAGGTTTTAAAATTATACCTAGATCATTTTGAAATAAGCATCATATAAGTAATGTCTATGTTTGTGAATGAGTAGAAAAAAAAGATAAGAGCATTAAAAAAATTTCCCACATATTCTGGTACACTTATCCTAATCGTTTAAACTATAAAAAAAGATATATACTAATTAATCTTCTCTTGATTACATGTAACATTCATCAAAATTGAATCCGCCAAGTCATACGTATGCATTAAATGTTGAACTGTATTTTAGAATAAATATACCTTGAGTTCTAATAGCTATCTAATACATAGTTTCGATGATCAATCATTAAAAATTCCGGCAAAAAGATATGTACTAATCATAAATGAAATGTTTTTATTGAATATCAGATTAGAATTTCATCATAAATGTAATTTTTTATTGAATATCAAATTACAATTTTATCATAAATGTAACTTTATATTCGACACTTTTAAGTTTATCATAATGATTCGCATCATTGTTAATTGTAGTAACAATTGCAGATTCTTCACGATTAAATAAAAATAATGATTCGCTTATTGCATGTTTAATGCTAATTGTGATATAAAACTATCTCTCTACCTGCTATAATATTACTAAAACAACTTAAGTAAAATGCGAATATACACAGACTAATGCATGACGTTTGTAAATATGAAATTTACAATTAGACACTATTATGATGATGCACAACGCATAACGCAGTCCTATTTCAAGGTTTTATAATTACATCCTAGACTATGTTTACGGAAAGTGTCAAGAAATAAATATCTTCATCTGTAAATGAATTCCTCTCCTCGACTCGATACCATCTTGTCTCTCACAAACGCCACTAACCATCAAGTTATTATGTAAAATGCTCACTTATAACTATATATGTTATTATATATATATGTTATTTATCAACTATCGTGTACAATTTCATTCTTAACATTATTTTTATAAATTTGAATCTGATAATGCATAGGTATAAGATTTTTTTACCAGACTTTACCATTACTTTGGAATGTACACTATTGATCCGTCCTTCAACGAATTTTACTTTGCATCTAAATAACCCATAAATCGCCTAGATTTTATTTGCAAGATTTTACTACGATGATATGGAATTATTATAAATTGCGATAAATTACCTATAAAGACAGATACACGTACATCTTATGTTTTCAGTTTATATTCGCAGTTATTACATATTTATTCTTCTTTTTATCCCATACACACGAAGTTTATCATCCACTTTGTAACATGTTTTTGTAACATTCTTTCTGAATGATTTAATTCTTGTTGCATTTTATTTTTATTTATTTCACAAACGAGTTGACTTAAGAATTGACTTGATTTGATTCGCGCACGTCGTCAGCAAACAACAATTCGCGACAAAGTGTTTCACTTGAAACCATTTCTGCGGGCTTGGCCCAGATAAAACCACTCATCGAGAGCGATCGAGTTGTTTCTGCTTGCAGAAAGAGGATCGGCCTTCCAGTTTTTCTATCTATTATCTATTACGGCGTGTCGAGCGATCGGGCTTTACCGGCGGCGATTTCAAATATACGGACGAATTATACCGCGAGGACTGATGCCAGAACTCGCTCAGAACCGGTTTCCACTTGGTGTCGATGCAACGACGGGACGCATTTCTTTCTGTGCATCGGCTACTTTCGTTTTCACGACACCTCCGATCGCTTTGACACGAAACGAGCGCGGAATGCGCGTCCGATGTGCCATTTAGGCGGATGGAACGGGTGCGAGACTCGCAGGACTCGCGTAAATTTTATTCAATCGTCGCGAACAAGATTCCCCACTAAATAACTTCAGTGGCATTTCAGTTTTGCAATTAATTTCCCGAAAATTTTGAAAAACATAATTGAGGTGTTGAAAACACTTTTATTTTTAATTAAACTATCATGATTTGTATTATGAGACATTTAATCATTAATGTAAAAAGTATTTAAAATTATACATTTTTCAATTATTTTGATAAATTTTGAAATAATTTTTTCTTAAATATAATCGTATTGCTTTGGAAGATAATAAATCTTTAAAAAATTAAAAATATAACAAAAATATGAAGAGCGCAAAATTGTCTGAAATAATTTAATGTATAAATCTAACGTACAAGTAAAAATTTAATAAAAAGATAAATATAATTACCTAATAAAATTACAACAATCACATGCAAAAATTAGTGCATTGATTATTCTCCTTCAAATTAAGCGAATTAACCAAATTTTGATTTCGATGAGAAAATCTATATTAACGTCGTTAAATTATGCAAAAATGGCCGGTCGATCGTATAGCAAATTACAAAAGATCTGCATAAGATATCTTTATGCCAAATTAATTGGTAATCCGGCCAACTCATAAGGGAATTAATTAAACAGTCTTACTATGTAAACGAATTGTAACGTTTTTGCGCACGATCCATCCGTTAAAACCAATTAAAACAACGCGATACAAATGAGCACGACGAACCTGTTTTCTGCCGACACTCGGAATTTTAATTTCACTCGATGGTTCTTTTCGCTGATCGTTGGTCTCTTTACGTGAGTTAAAAAGTAATTTGCGCTCGCCGTTTGCAAAATGACAGTTGCTTCACGCTCTTAATATTGCCGTATCACACCGATCATAAATTGCGATGAGCCGCGCTAAACGTCATTAAGATTAGTCGACAGCGCGATTATGAGAAAGCTAAGCCTGCAAATAAGTACATCATAATTTTGATCGCATTGCTGGCACGGTAATTAACATCTATATGTGTGTATATATCTCACATTTATTATTCATATTATCCTTAAGCTCGCGTCGATTTAACTTAAACGTTCGTTTCGTACTACCATGATTTTACTAGATACTATATAATTACAATTTTCTCTCTTTTAAAATTATTTCCTGTAAGTCATTCTTTTGATTAACATAGATACATAATTATATGCTCTGTTTTAACACTCGACTAAATACTCAATTACTCGAAATTAAATAGACGATTAAGTCTCCGGTTTGTTATAGTTGAGATCAATAATTCTTTACCTTATCCGATCATTATCTTTCTCCGAAAAATTTTACTTTTACAATTTTCAAATTTTATCATATTATTTTTATGTAAATTCTAAAAGATTTTGATAGAGGTTTAATGAAGTAGATGTTGAAATTGAATTCTTACTTTGTATTTCAGACAGATAAATGAAAATAGAAAGTTTAGAAATTTAAGAGAGCAATTTTCGACAAAATTATAATTTCAAAAAAGAATGATGTGACTGCTAAAAGTAATAAATAAATAATCAAGAAATAAATAAATAATCATAATAAATATAAAATTAAAAATTGAAATTGAAAGTAAAAGAAAAATTTCGATTCGGGTCTGTTCGAAAAATGTCTTGAAGACATATTATTCTATAAATCCACAAAGAAAACTTATTCGTGCGTATCCTTTCGAAACAATACGACAATCTTCGTTGGCCTGATTAATGCGGAGTCATATCTATACAATTACAGTCGTATGTAATAAACGAAACTCGAACATCTTACGCATATCAAGTACACAATACCTATGATAAATACATACATTATATATTATATATTAACTGATATCATTAGTCAAATATTAGTACACTATATTAATATAAAATAAACAATGAACAAAAAGAATAATTTTTTGTTAGATAAAATTACTTTTAAATACTAATTAACTTGTATTGATTGACACATCAATAACATTCTAAGGATGATTATCGATTGCTGAAAGTAAAATCGATAAATGCGGATTGTGAGAACTAAACTTCTTTTGCAATATGATAATATTTGCTATAAAAAATGTAAAAAGAATGCAAAACAATTCTGATATACAAGAAGCATCGAGTGCCTTGGTAACTTTGATTTCTACTAAAAGTGTATGAAAATAAATTATTAATCACACTTTGTGACTGGCAGGTGTTCTGACTGCGCTTTCAATAATCTGGAAGACGGCATCAATAACGGGATCACGAGATCGCTGCATCAGTTTAAATTAATGCGCCTGAATCTGAAGAGATATCTGACCGTGACCACTTTCGTCACAGCGATTACGCAGGCGATTGTTAATTTAACAGAGCGTTCAACTGACTTCGAAGATCGCGAGGATCTTTGTGAAAAAATTTCCGATTATCTCGAACCGTAAAATCATCATTCGAATCTCCTTAACTTGTTTACGGAGCTAACAATACAGAAATGTGGTAAAATTGTGATCGCGTTAAAGATAAACCAACTAATCTCCAAATAATCATTATTAATTATTCAGCACAATTTTATTGTTATGCACAATAAAACTTTTCTCTGATTACAGGCGTGAATTTGCAAAATTGCACGGCGGGTCCATTCGCGAGCGGAAATAACGGCAGCGCATCGCGACAACGTCTAATCGAATTATCGCACGGATTAGGGGCACTAAGACACTACAATGATCTTGCCAATCACGTGTTGTCCTTAAATCAGCAGGGCGCAGTCGTCACGAAACTTTTAGGTAAGTCTTAATTTTGAGAAGCGTATTTTTATGATTTTTTACAAAGGGAATTTATCCCAAAAGAATTGCGTTTATGGTATATATAATATACATATTCGATATTACACACTGCATTGTATGTTTTATATCGTTGACGATAAAAATATGCAAATTATTGAGTGACATTCCGAATACGAGAACTTATGTATAGGAGAACTACTCCGTTGACATATCGCCATTATGTCGTCAGCCCTATGCCTATCGCGAGTATTGAACGCCGTAGGCATTACGTACGTACGTAATTTTGATGGAAAGTCAGGGTAGAAATCCATTTCTATATCTCGGAAATATCACCGACCCCTTTAGAGAAGGAAAAAAGAAATAGGAGATGTATAAAGGTAGTTTTCAAAGATGAAAATTATTAAATTGATGCAAAAGGTTTGTCATATTTATCGAATAAAAATGTTAAGCATTTTTATGGTAAAAATAATGATCGTATCTTATTCTTTCACAGACATAGAGATACAAATACACATTATCTTTTTACTTAAAAAGAAATATTTTTATTTTCTTTAATTTGCATTTGAAGACATTCCGGAGAAAATGAATAATTTTATTTAAATTTTATTTTGCATCAATTTATCTAATATACATTATTTAATATTTTTCGCTACAGTTTTGGCGGCAATCATCGACTTCAAACGCGTTAATATCTCGAGCGAAGCAAAGAACAAAGAACACACAACACCGAATACATTCGTGGAGCACGGTCAGATGTAATGAGCGTCGTGAAGGGCGGAATCGGCCTCTTGAAGCTCGTTAGCTCGCGAAAATTAACGCGTAATAACCGCTTCTTTCACGCGAACTTCTTTAGTCTTTAGCACCTCGGCAACACGAATAATTCGTCAATGATTGCACCAATCATTAACTCCCCTGCATTCCAGCGAATTTCTTAATCTAATAAACGTTCTCTAAACTCTCACGTCTTTATAACCTTTTTTATAGAATATATTGTAATTTTCTAGAGTATTATATTATGTATATAGTGTGTTATATATTATGTGATGGACTTTGTAAAGTTATTCTTTTCTTTATGGAACATAGTAAACATTTATATCTCATTTACAACACAACAATTTAATTTTTTTCGCTCAACAAACTATGTACTTTGCGGCATTCACACTTTTCATGGCTACTTGCACTGTTCTTTCGTATCTTGTGTCTTGGACCGCCACATAAAGAGCGTATGGTGAAACTCGCGAAAATTTCAAGTCTCGAACGAGATCGGAAATCGAGCGTCAGAATTCCACGTTTGAGGAAGGACTAGAAAAACGAAGAAGCCAAGAAAAATATGGAGAAAGCAGTAAAGAGAGAGAAAGAAGGAGAATTCACGCTCCGGAAGAAGCGAATAATAAAAAAAAAAAAAATAGAAGTGAGCCACCGAGCATCTCCGTGAAATGTCGGAGGAGAGTTTCTCTCTTTCTCGTAGACCTGCCTGCTATCTCGGCACGATCCTCGTTAACTTTACGAGCCGCTCGTAAAAATACCGTTCGGGGCCTGTTCTCTCGCGGCGCGGCGGTAATGTCTTCATCCCGTTGGATACGGATTCCTCAAGGCACTTCGAGATGTATATAATGTACCGTAATCGTGGTCAAGCAATTACTTAAACGCAGCAAACAATTAATTTCGCGTCGACTTTTCGGCGTAAGTGAGCCACTTGGACTCGTGTTTTTTGTGCGAGAAAAAAGTAGCACGAGATGTGTGTGAATTATATTACATTAATCTTACTTATCCTTTATATGAGCGAAAAATGGAACTCGATTATATTGATTTTCGTGTCTTCAGAAGCTACGATTTCAGTTCATTGCTATATGAATCTCGGAGAATAATCGGCTTAAAATTGGATCAATGCGCGATTTCAATGGGCAAAATTTTTCAAGCGTGCTGTAGCGAACCTAACATGTCGCTATCACAATCGTCCGGCTAACCGGACAGCAATTGAGAGGACAATGCCGGAGGTGTTCCGGCTGTTTACTCGTGGTTTCTATCGTATATCGCTCTTCTTCACCGTGTAATTACGCTAATTCCTCATTATCAATTCATAAAAGAGATCACGTAGCTCTTCGCTGAACGCATGCATGCGACGCGCGTTGAATGCGCTCCTCTCGCCCCGGTAACGACGCCTGTAACCAAGGCGGACATGCTCGTGAGTCATCTAACCGGCTAACGAAATTGGCTTCGTGCAGTTTCTTTTATTAAAAACGACGATCGGCGCTCAAATTTTTTACGTCTTACGCACGCACGTACGTACGTGCAACACGTGCACAGAAGCAAACCAGGAGCAAACCGAGCGAGCAGCAAATAAAGGCGGAGGAGGTCAGGGTGAGAAGAGATCAAGGGGGAGAGTATCGAGGGAAAGATACGGAAGGGAAGACGGAGAGAGGCCAAAGGATGAAGCGAGGGAGAGACCGAAAGACCGAGATAACAGGTCGGGGCAAGGAATTTGCTCGCGGCGTGGATACCTATTAGATGGGTACATCGTTTATATACCCGGCACGCATTTCACCCGTGGGAGCGCACGCGATATCCTGCCGGGTTTAGCCGTCATTATTGTTATTAATAATAGTACCTAACGACCGATAATTGCTCAAGTCTGCCTGCGCCTCTGGTTTCCATTACCTCGTGGCCTCTCTCGGCAGAATTGACGGACGATTCTCCCCGCGTTTCTTCCCGAGGATCGCGCTGGCCACGACAGAAACGCGAATCATGGATCATGCATGCACATTGGCGACGTACGCGTCCTTCCACGATGAATCCACGTGTAATTGGGGTCGGAAGGCGAGCCTCTCGATGAGACCCTTCATGCTCGATGGTTGACGTTGATGTTAGCACGCGAACGTGACTCTCGTTTCTTTGCTTCTATTGTGTCATTCGCAAAAAACAGGAGACATTATATAGAATCTTAAAACGTAAGTTCGTAGCTATCAAAATTGATAAAAAAATAGAAATATTCTAATGCGATGCATCATTGTTATTGCGGTCAATATTTATCGTATATAAGCTTGAAGTAATATAATAATAATAATTAGAGAGATTATATATAAAAAAGAAACAAGTTAAGATTATTACCGCGCGATATAAATTAAAATAATTAATATGCCTTGATATTAATATTATATTATTTCGATATTATAATAATTGATATTAAAAAGAAGCAAAATTATTATACAATTATTATATGAAATATTGTATAAAAACTACTCATTCTTTATCTTTTCCTTTTTTTAAATCTTACAGATTTTATCACGAGAAAAGACAATAAAACCTTAACTAATAAAAGATTAACTTTTAATATAAAATTAACTTAATATTTAAAAGTATACAAGATATATAGAAATAAAATTACTTTAACGATATATATTAACTTGTACTCTACTTCGGAACTATTAATCTAATGCATTAAAACGCAATTGTAGAACATTAATTGTATTCTATTCATTTTTCATCCACAATTTTTATTAACAATGCAAAATCACTTACATGTATAATTGTTTATACTTGTAATATGTATTATCGGATTATTATGCATCTTAGCATTCATTTTTAAGTAATAATTAAGTAGTAATTAATGCATTACTAATTGATCACTGCATTATTCATTGTCTTTCCCACGGATTGATAAATTATAAGCTCAGTTTCCATAAAACATGACCAGCAGTAGACATAATATACATGTTATATATTTGCTTATAACTACATGTTAACGCTCTATCTAAATATATTATAATAAACATTTCATGAAACTTTCAAAAAATCTGGCAAACTATAATTTTTATAAATTACATAACTCCATTGATCAAAGCGTGTAACAAAACTCTTAAACAGATATTTATGACGTGCGATAATGATACTAAAAATATTCCGGATTATCTTAAGCCAACACGATTACACATATGCATATAATTTTCTTGTATCACGACATTTATTACATAAGATATCCTCGTGTTGCCCTAATCGCTGCATCATGAATCCGCCCAGATACGACGATAGGATTGATATCTGTTCGTGAATGTGGTAGCACGCGATGTTAGGCATAATATTGTTCCGTACTTTTCTAATACCATCTATTATCATTTGTATTTTTTTGTATTTTATTTTGTATTTTATTACGTCACAATATTCTTATATTCATTGAAAAATATTAAAAATCCTTTAATGCATCTTTCATGCATGAAACAGTTTACCGATGTGCCTACGAACGCGATAAATTATATCTAATAATACAATCATACACGGTGTATATAATATTATAATTATCATTTCGTTCGCATTAATCATGTCTGCGAAAAATACATTTGGACTCCGAGGCGTGTGCATCGCGTGATTTTCGGGAATTACGAGCTTCGTGATTTTTGGCATGACCGAATAGGGTGCAAAATATAAATGCAGCCATGCTGCGGCGCGCCATTTACCAACGATTTTATCGCGGGACCAGTGCTTTTGCCAATGCATCGCGTCCTTGAAGCACGTTTTATCATATGTTCCAGGTACACTGCGCCCGCCGGGTCTGATCGGTGGCAGTAAGCCAAAAGTAGCGACACCGGCTGTCGTCGCCAAGATCGAGCAATACAAAAGGGAGAACCCGACCATCTTTGCTTGGGAAATTCGAGAGAGGCTAATCTCGGAGGGTAAGATAACAATGTCGCCTTTTGGTCGAGCCCAGCCCTCTTATCGTTGGAAGAAACATAAATTTAAAATAAATCAAAGCAAATTTACGAACTAAGCTAATAAATAATGATGAAAGGATGTATCAGTGCGAAAAATGCGATAAAAAAATAATAATTGTGTAAAGAGACAAATTAACTAACATTGACATTGAGCGCGATTTTTCGCGGAACGCGCTTAGTCACAACGTCAAGTCTTCGTCAGCGCGATGCATAAACTAGCGTGTTTCTTACTTAATTATGCTCGTCCTCTGTAAGCCATGCGAATGCAAACCATTCGTGATTACAGACACACGTATGACTATAACATATAATTTAGAAAGAATTAAGAAACGCGTTTCTGCGACCTTATTGCTTGACACACATATTGTTCTTCGTGCTAACACGAATCTCATTACAATTGCCAGTAAACCTTAAGACACACATAGATGCCCTTGCTGGGTACAATACTTTCGCTCCAAAAATTCGATCATACACAGAAAAAAAAGAAAAAAAGGAAGTGTCAAATCAAACTTATATACTTAAACTAACGCGTTCATTGTTTCGTACATACGCGACAATTTATAATCTTCTTAGAAGAATTTTCAATTTCAACAATATTATAGTCTTATTTTAATATTGTAATTGTCACCTTAAGCATATATAATTATTTAATTCTACTTTAAGAAAATTATAATCTTTGATTTAAAAATGTTACTTTTTATCCAACACTGTTTCTTTTCCATTCAAGAAAATTAAATCTTAAATCATAAGAATATATTTTTCTCGATTGAACTGTATAAAATGGCTTCATTCAAGTGAGGAATTATTCAAGCAATTATATTTGTCTTTAATTAACTCAATATAATCTCATTTCAAGACTTCCATGTTAAAACTAAATATATTTTCAAAGCAAGAAGGTCCTTTATTTTCTGTACTCGATACAAAATTTGCGTCACGTTTGCAAAATTAATAATAATAAAAAAAAGTATCTTTTAAAAACTCTATGCATTTATAATTAGACCTTGATATTCGCGGCACCTTTACATCGGACACGACTCCCGGCTGTTCCAGGGGTGTGCAGCAACGCGACCGCCCCGTCGGTCAGCAGCATCAACCGGATCCTGCGGAATCGCGCGGCGGAGCGCGCGGCCGCGGAATTCGCGCGGGCCGCCGGCTACGGGCTGTACGCGGCCGCCGGGCCGCATCCGTACTTCAACTCGCACCAGCATCCGACGACGAGCCACCACCTGCCGGCGGGTTGGCCGGCGCCGGCGGGCGCGGCCGGCCATCCGTGGATGCTGCCGCCTCTGGCGACCGGCATATCCGGCGCGGCCGCGTCGGCGCTGCTCCTGCCGCCGTCCCTGAGCCCCGGGGCGGCCGCCGCCGCGGCCGCGGCCGCGTCCGCGTCCGCTGCCGGCACCTCCGAGCACGCGCTTCACGCCGCCGACGTCATCGCTCGAGGATACCTGCAAGGTAGGACGAGGCAGGGTAGACTCTTTCGAGATCGGGGCATGCATTATGCGGAATCTTTATCTATCCTATTCCTAGAAGAATGAAAATATTCTTTATCTTGTATTATTGTGTTTCCAAAAATTTGAACACGTTCGATTAGATTCCGATGTAATAAATCCGGATTTGCATATAATCATTATAATGAGAGTTTATTATACATATTATCCGATAATTTTTGACACACCCGAAGTGTGCAGGTAGAGCGGGTTAAGCTGAGTAGAAAAGTTTTTTATCATTTTGCGATCTTTGCAATAATTAACAATAAATAAGTGTTATAGAAATTAAATTTTCTAATTCTCCTTAATTATGCATTTCAAAGTTATATTTTTATATATATTAAAAGTTTGCTAATTCGTCAATAAATGAAGAATGTTTTATTTTAAACGGATTATAATTGTATTATATTTTCAAAAATTTGAATATGATCGATTAGATTCCGATGATAAGATGCAATTATAAATCCAGATTTGCATATAATCATTATAATGAGAGTTTATTATACATATTTATTATACATATTGTCCGATAATTTTTGACACACCCGAAGTGTGCAGGTAGAGCGGGTTAAGCTGAGTAGAAAAGTTTTTTACCATTTTGCGATCTTTGCAATAATTAACGAGAAATTAATTGAAAAACGATATTGGCGCGTTAATAAAAGTTTTCTATACAATAATCTTCTAGAATTAAATTTTGTGTATATATTTTACAATATATTATGTATTATACATTTTCTTTTTAAATCAATTTATTTTCGCATTAACAATAAATAAGTGTATAGAAATTAAATTTTCTAATTCTCCTTAATTATGCATTTCAAAGTTATATTTTTATATATATTAAAAGTTTTGCTAATTCGTCAATAAATGAAGAATGTTTTATTTTAAACGGATTATAATTGTATTATATTTTCAAAAATTTAAACATGATCGATTAGATTCCGATGATAAGATGCGATTATAAATCCGGATTTGCATACAATCGTTACAATAAAAGTGAGAAACGGTTGTTTGTTATACAAGGTGTCTAATAATTTTTAATATACTCTGAGTATGCAGGTAAAGCGGCTTAAACTGACAATGAGTAGAAAAAGTCCTTTACCATTTTGCGATCTTCGCAATAATTAACGAGAAATTAATTTAAAAAGCGATATTGACGCGTTATTAAAAGTTTTCTGTACAATCTTCCAGATATTATACTTTGTGTACACATTATACAATGTATTATATATTTTGCATTTTCTTTTTACGTAGCATCGACAATAAATGAACGTTATAGAAATTAAATTTTCTATTTCTCCTTAATTATGCATTTTAAAGTTATACTTTTATATATTAAAAGTTTTGCTAATTCGTCAATAAATAAAGAATATTTAATTTCAAACGGATTAGAATTAGAAAAAACGTGCTTCTATTAATGTGCAGACGGCGACGGGGATGACGGAAGTTTAGACGGTTCGGAGCAGCCCAAGTTCCGACGCAATCGCACGACTTTCAGTCCGGAGCAACTCGAGGAGCTCGAAAAGGAGTTCGAGAGATCGCATTACCCTTGTGTGTCGACGCGTGAGCGTCTCGCCTCGAAAACGTCACTTTCGGAAGCGCGCGTTCAGGTGAGAATCCACTACTCGCAGATATAAAAAAAGTAGAGAAAAAAGAAGCGACGCGACGACGCAGGGTCTAATTCGATCGTTTATTGACGTTGGAGCTGGATTCTGCGGGCAACGGTCGCTTCGTTCTCGAATTACCGATTATCCGACCTGATCACGAGCGTCTTCTAACGACCTAACTCGTGACTCTTAGGTTTGGTTTTCCAACAGACGGGCAAAGTGGCGTCGTCACCAGCGCATGAACCTCTTAAAGCGCTCGCCACCACCGCCTCCACCGCCACCGCCGCAGCCGCAGCCGCAGCAGCAACCGCACTCCGCTACGTCCGCTATGGAAATCGGCCAGCGTACATCCGGCTGCTCCATCGCCGGCATGGGCGGCGAAAGTAGCGCCTTTCGCGCGGTTGTCGCCAATTCCGCGGCTAGGGACGCAAATCTCGACAGATCCGAGAGGATCGACAGGCTGGAATCGGCAGCCAAGCAACCGGAGAGGAAGCCCAGCGCCTTCCGTATGATCAGTCAGCTGGTGGGCGACGACTCGTCCGGACTCTCGAGACCAGCCAGTCCTGTATACGAGCAACATGGATCCGGATTTGGCCCGAGACCGGGATCGGCGCACAGGATACGCTACGATCAGAATGAGGACGAGGACGAGGAGATCGATGTACAGGATTCCGATCAGGATGCGCCGTCGTCGCCCCCGATCGCTTGGAGGGATCACTGGACTGACCAACAACCGTTGGAGTTGACGAAGCACGATCGTTAAATAAGTGTGATACATCAGCTTAGTCTCGGATATGATGGTCGAATCTCTCAAGTGACTTTTGAAGGAAATCGAGATATCGAACGGTCGCATATTTGCTATTTATTTATGTATCTCAATCGGATAAATCGCGTAAATGTGTAAATTCTATCGGTGCTCGAAGTGATCAATAAGTGAAAGAAATGTTCTCTTGCTCTATGGTGCTCGGATTATACTAATTGTAAGATTAGCTAACCGTGAAATGTGCTTGTCGATCCGAAACATCGGCAGTTTACGCGCGATAGATTGATAACGTGCTGCATCAGCAACTGAACTGCATCATGATGATTATTATCGCATAGCATCCGATGCAGCAGCGTGTACTTAATGTATTCTCTCTTCTTTCTTTATTATCGGGTTCGGCTCTTTTCTATCAGTTGAAATCTTTAACACCTATGGAACTACTTATTACAAACACGGATGATTTCTCACAATTACAATTGCGAGTATATAACTGCTGCGATCTATGTAATATTAAAACGCAACATCATCAGTGTCCCTGTAATTATTGTTGTAGATTACGTAGGCAATCCATGCATATCGCATGGCAAAAGCGAGCGCTATTAATTCGCTCGAAACCTGTGGAGCCGCTCGCGTGAATCGAGAATAAAATGATATTACGAGCAAAGAGTGAGATTGTTCGAGCTCATTCGGAACTAGTCCTAGCGAATCATTATGAAATAGAGGTGTGCATTATCTAGATACTTGATTAATAGACGTAAGCGAAAGCACAAATCATATATGAAGTGTTTGTTAAAATAACGTTTATTTAAATGAATCCATTTTTTGTAAATATTCACATATATATATATATCTGGCGTCACACATTCATTTCCTTTCACAAAAACTCTTTTGAAAATTTCCTTCCCGACTATTCCCCCTAAAACAATTTTCGACCATCGAAATATATTCGCACAACATATAATATATTATATTGAAATAAATTTACATAAATCTCCGATGATCGAATCAATTTCCTTCCAGCCCTAAATTATAAATAATGATTAAAAAAATAGAATCAAGTATAATATTTTCGATATTCTTTGTATTTAATGACTTATTTCTTTCTGAAATATTAAATGGATTGTATATAAAGCATGAAATTAAAAACCGATAAGAGAACTATGTAGAAAAATGCAAGTTGTTTTTCCTCCAATAACTTGGATTTAATCACTCTGTTTGCTTTCCGAACTATACATATCTTTATCGATTTACATTGAAATTGCGGGCATCAATACGTAAAATAATCGATATTACAAGCAGCTCTAGATACTTTTCGATGTGTACTCTGTGGCAATTATCCTTAGTGGAATGTATTTCCGTATCTATTCTTCGGTATACCAGATATTTCACTGCGTATTACATATCCGAAGAAAGAGAGAGGGAGAAAGAGGGTTTATTTAATATTTCTCATCTGCTCAATGTTATAGAACACGGTAAATATCTACGACTTCCTGAAAATTAAAGATGATCTTATCTTCCACTTCTCTTATACTCCACAATCATTTAAATTAACTATCGCGGAAATATTCTCTCGTCTCGAGATTTTTCCATTAAAAATCTCCGTCGATAGAAATGAAATTTTTCGCTATTTTCTCCGGAATAATTTCACTCCCCGACAGACGTCGATGACGATACAGGTACTCCTTAGACCACTCGAGGGCACGTATACGAGAATTGTGGGAAAGAAAGAAGAGAAAAGCGCGAGAAGGGGGAGGAGGGAGAAAAAGCGCGCGAGAAGGCTCATCGACGATTAACTCGAATCTACGGTTTCGTCGGGCTCGCAAATAAGGAATCTGCGCGCGAAACTGGTTTCTCCGAGCGACACTCTCATCTACTCGGCACGGGTGGAATCGCCCGCTGTCGAGAGCACGAAAACATTGGATCCGCGCGACATTTCGGATATCGTGGCCCGCGTCAACGGTCAACGCGAGCGGCCAATTTATGGCCACGCTCTCGGCTCCACGAGCCGGGAATACGCGCACGGTAGGACGAGAAGGGCAGACATAGCGGAGACCGAGAAGAGGCCTGGAGGAGAGAAGAGGAGAGGAGAGAAGCTGAAGAAACGGAGAAGCGAGATCGTCGCCAGACATGTAATACGAACGAACTCGTTAATGGCGTTAACACGACGGATCGGTGTACCTTTTCACGCGCCTATCTCCCTCTTTTTTGAATCCTGAATGGGGAATCCTGATTCTATTTGCGCGCAAGTGAAACGATTGCGCGACAGTCTCGTCGGGATACAAAGGCTCGAAGTCGGCACAGGGCTTGTGGATTTCGGGAGAAAGTAATTCGAGCCTTTTCGAAGGTAGAACAAGTGGAGGATGCTTAATAAGGAGATCGGAAATTCTGGATATAGAGAATAAGAGTGCGGTGGTTCCCTCATTGAAGAAAAAAATTTCTTTCATTACACAGAAAAAAAGAACCTTCTTGTTTTGAAAATATATTTAGTTTTAACATGGAAATCTTGAAATGAGATTATATTGAGTTAATTAAAGAAAAATATAATTGCTTGAATAATTGCTTACTTGAATGAAGCCATTTTATACAGTTCAATCAAGAAACATATATTCTTATGATTTAAGATTTAATTTTCTTGAATGGAAAAGAAACAATGTTAGATAAAAAATAACAAATTTTTAAATCAAAGATTACAATTTTCTTAAAGTAGAATTAAATAATTATATATTCTTAAGGTGACAATTACAATATTAAAATAAGACTATACTATTGTTGAAATTTAAAATTATTATATTCTTCTAAGAAGATTATAAATTGTTGCGCATATACGAAACAATGAACGCGTTAATTTATGTATATAAATTTTGATTCGACACTTCTTTTTTTTCTGTGTATATAATACTATCGATCATAAACAACAGTACATGTAAAGACTTGAAAATAAAAAAAAAATCTAACGGATTTAACCTCCTTAATTAAACAAAAATCTTTTAATTTCCCACATTGCTCATGCTTGCGAATCATCGTTACTTTGCTCTTCCTCTGAATCGCGGAGTTTTTTAGCTTCCGCGCGCGCGATTTCATTCACCTGCCATCGCTAGATATAATATCGCTGTATATAAGCCACGGGGATCCAACGCAAACAGTCGGCAAACAGATATCGATATTGTAGTGCCAACAGATTCGCCGGAGGCAGTGGTGCCGATAATGGGTGAGGATCGGTCGGCGACTCCTGACGAGAGCTTACAATAGAGGAACGAGCGAATATGGAGGGACAGAGGTGGGAAATAGAAGACGCGCGAGGGAGAAGGAGACGGGGGATCGAGTCCTCAGGTGTTGGAGGAACCTCTCGTCGGACACGCTCGAGCGGTCCGCCACAGGAAAGCAGAACGTAACAATTACTATCTGCGCCCGATCGGTGCGCGGCAAGATTAACGATCTTACTCCCTCGGCGAGAGCAACGGTCGGGCCCCGTCTTGGCCGCGATTGCTTACCGAGGGGAGAGGGGTGGTCGACGTTAAAGTCACCTCCTCCTTTGCTCAATGAGATATTGCCTTGGCGCACCTCCTCGCGCTCTCTGCGAGTAACGTAAATCGCGCGCTCGCCCCGAAAGGGCGCTTAAACTGAGATATTCGGATGTTAACGAGAATTAGGACGAGGGGTTTACCTACCGACAGGCACGGCCGTAAATTGCGTTAAGCCACTTCCGTCGCGTTCGCGTTCGTGAGAAAATATTCCGCGCGATAAAGAGAGAATAAATGCGGACGCTTCCACTTAATCGACAAAGTCACGCGTTGACACATTTGAGACACGTAAGAACCCAAGGGATTGATGAGCGCCGTTAACAATCGCCCCAAAATTTTTATTCGGGATAATTACCTTTGCATTTATTTCTTAAGAAGGAATTGCAATAAATTATTTCGCAAATTTTTATCTCGCGATGGTGAGGACTTTGTTGATAAGTAAATTGCTTACGCAAATCATATATAAAATAATCATTTATCCGCACTTGATTAATACTCTTCTTCCATATAAAAATAATTACAAGAGCAATGTTAGAAAATAATACTGGTTTAATTGAATCAGCCAATTGATTATTTTGCCGATCGTTATACCTGTATAATGTTGTTTCGTTTCTCCGTAAACTCTTTATTCAGCTATATATCTCAATTCTTATAAAATATGAATACGCATAGGCACGCTATATAAAGACATTCAGACACGCTGTTCAGTTTAAGCGCGATTTATCGAGACTGTTGAATCCTATCAGAATGATGTCTGCCGAGAATCAAGAGGAGGAAGGAGATGTTTGACAGAACGACAGAAAGGAGCGAGGGGAGGAGGGGGGAGGGGGAGAAGAGGGAGGCAGTGGCACGGTCCGGCAATAATACGCGAGAAATCGTGAATTAGTGAGAGTCTTTTTGAGCGTGCGGACGGAGAAAAGGAGTGCCCGATGATTTCTCGCCCAATTAGAGTCGACCGGGCTATAAACTTCCCCGCGGATAAGATAGGATCCCGGTTTTCTGTGTTCTCGTGTCCGGGGCGAAAGAGGGGCCCGTAATATCCCGCTTCAGTCCGGAAGCCTTCCAGGTCGCATATAGATCGGGAGGCAGCAGAAACAGAGAAGAAAGAGAGAAGGAGAGAGATACGGGATAAAGGACCCGGAGGAACGATAAAGAGAGAAAACAAATAAGGGAGACGCGGGAAGAAAGATATACATATAAAAAGAAAAGAGTAAAGAGCGCAAGAAAACAAGAAAGAGAGAGAGAGAGAGAGCAAAGCGGAGAGAAGTAAGGAAGAGCAGTGAGGGGGGAAAGAGAATACCTGAGCATTGGGACGGAGCTAATTGGCTCGTCCACTGCCCATTGAAATCGCCGTCCCGGTATCGTCTTCGATCCACGGGGCACATATACGCGCCAACGTTTCAGGACGATCAATTAAATGGAAATGGTCGTGAGATATCCCACCAGAAACAGACGTTCTCGCACGTTTCACGCTCCGCCGGGTTAGCCCAGGGCGACCGTGTTCGGGTCCAGGGCGGCATCGCCGAACTCCGAACGACTGCCGAGGATTTTCGATACGAGGGAGAGGGAAATGGAGCGGATGATCGGGCGATCGCGTGGTCGCGTGCATCGCGTTTACGATTCAACGAGCTGCGAGCGTTAAATTCGACCGAGGAGAGGAGGATTCACTCGGTTGAGGTATGTCGGATGTGACGTGCGGCTTCTGATGTTAGATCTAATAATGATTCTTCGAGATAAGTCGAGGGACGCGCGAGAAATATGTATGAGTTATCATTATATTATATTAAACACGGAGAGAGATTCTTTTCATCGTGCTTGACCAGGAGATAATTTTTCGTGAAAAAATAAGTAAAATATAATAAATGGAGTAAATTTATATCATAAATATATATCAAAGTTCTAAATTGGAATATTAATGCTGTAGCACACGTAGTCCTTTTATAAAACAGTACGCTAGTACAACTTTACTTCCGCAAGGTAGATGTACACGAGCTGCAAGAAACACATGGATGAGCGATAGATATTAATGAAGCTATTAATGAAGATATACATATACACAGTGATTTGACGCAACGTCATCACATGGATATATATTGCTTCATTATTATCTAGGTACCATTTAAACGCGCATTAGATCACGCATAATCTTTTTATTGTTCGACAAATCGAAAAATCGTCCTCGATCATTTCTTAATAAGGGATTGTCTAAATAATCCGCAAGCAAATTGATCGAATATAGCAATTGTTCATTATGTACTTTAAAAACAATAGTCTACGAAATAAATGTTTATGTTAAATAATCGCGTCAATAGCCAAACACACTACTCGGTCTACTTTGAGAAACTACTTTGCATATCTAAATTAATGCAAGCAATATCCTGTAGCAAACGCGCGTTGCAAAACGACGTTCGCTTAAATCAATTCATGGGAAATCCAAAGCGGATGCGCAAAGTATCTTTTAAATGAAGATCGAAATTGTCTCTAATAATTTTAG